TATATATATATATATTCATCATTTTCTTCTTTTTATTCCTATAAAAATCTGTATCAATAAATTAGATATATGTATAGAAGAAAATATAAATTTGAACCTAATAGATCGTAATTGCTACAATATGTCCCGATTTTATTTTTCGTTATACATTTTAATAACACTAATTGTTTCCAATAAATAATTTCAATTTATAATCTTGAATTTATTATTGCTGCATGTAATAATAAGTATAACATGTATATTCATAAAGACGCATGTAGTAATTAATTTTTATAAAAATAATTTTTGTTACAAATGTATTTTTTGTTACAAATGTATTTTGAAATAGCCACATTATTGCTATTTGAAATGTTTTCTAATACTAATTATCCACTATTGTAGACTCCAGCAAAGGATGCATATTTTTTCTACGCTGAATATTTAACCAGAATCCATTTTCCGGCATCATTACTAGACCTTTCTTGAATTTTATTGGGGACTCAGTTTTTGCGCAAGGTTTCAGTTCACATCGCGCTAATAAATGAAACAGCAAGACTTTGATTTCCAATATGGCAAATCTGTTAGCTATGCACATTCTTGGACCTAATCCAAACGGCATATAACATGAAGAATTATGAAGCTTATTATCTAAAAATCTTTCTGGATAAAATTTCTCCGGATCTTCGAAGTATTTTTTATCACGATGGATTGCCAAAATCGGAATCCAAACAGGCATACCCTTCTTCACAATAGCAGGTTTCTCATCCGGTAATGCGGGTGGTAATTCATAAGTTTTTTCACATGTCCTTTCTAAGAAGGCGACTGGTGGATATAATCTGAGCGCCTCACTTATCACTGCGTCTAAATATTCAAGCTGATTAATGACTTCGTAAGACACTTCTTTGTTCGATTCATTCAAAATCTTGTCAATCTCTTGTTGTAATTTGATTTGAATTTCTGGGTTAGCTGCGATTTCGTGAGCTACGAAGGACATCGCGGTTGAACTGGTATCAAAACCAGCAAAGAAAAAGATAAACACTTGCGCAGTCATGTCATCAATATCTAATTTTCTATCACCTTCTTTGTCTCTGATATCCATCATTAATTGCAGCATATCTGGACGTGTAATGTGTTCCACATCACGAGTAGCGATTGTAGTCTTTACAATGTCCTTGAAGAAATGCAATACGTAATCATTTATAATTTTTACATTGAGAATTCGTCCGAGACTAGGAAATGTTTTAAGAAAAATAAACTTTATGAAGTGATCTTCTAAAAAGTTAGTCACTTCTTTGCCGTAAACATAAAATTTATTCGTTGGATCCTTCATAGAATCGACCTTGATTCCAAAAGCACATGTGGCAATGACATCGTTCGTATATTTAGAGAAAGCATCTTTCATGTTCATATTGCACTAATCCGTTGGCAACGTCGACAGAAATGTAGCAAAATCTACGGCACATTCTGACATCAATGTGAACATCATTTTCATCTTGCTGGACGTAAAAGAGGGACTCAAAAGACTTCTCACGTTCCGCCATTTTTCTCCGCGAAGAGAAAATAAATTTTTCTCGAGCAGAGGATTATTTAAATCAGAGAAACCAGGACGATCTGGAAACGCCTCGAAATTCTTAACAAGAATAGTCTTAATGAATTCCGGATCGCGAAGCACGAAGAATGGATTTATAATGCCATAAAATCCATAATATTTTGCATTTGGATTAAAATTGTACACCTCCAAAATGATGTCTACGAATGATTTTCGAGGAAATATAATTGAGGTTATAGTTGCGAAGCTTGAAACAGGCGGTACATGTATAATATCATGTCTTTTAAAGAAATTAAAACTTCTAAAGAGATAATCAATGCTGACAACACCGATCACTATCGATAACAATATTAACCAGTATTCCATGGCAAATATAACGTGAAAATGTGTTTCTTGTAAACATTTAATAAAATGCGATTGATTATAAAAATCGTTATTAGTGACACTGTCAATGCGAATTGTTGCAGACAATTGCTCGTGCAGCAATTGCTATTTCTCATGACGCATAATGTAATAATAATCTCTGATACAAAGATCAAGTTAATATTACGTAAGATCAATTGATACTTTGTTTGATGTGAATCAATAAATCTTGGATAATTCTTTTAAAATTTATGTAAATGTTAATGTAATAACATTTAAATATGTAATTATTTGTACTTGCTAGACGTTTGCATGTACATAATGTACATACCGGGTGAGAAAAAAGGTACATACCTCTCAATAACTTGAAAAATATAAGTTTTATAGAAAGTTTCAGACAAAAATTATAAGGTATAAAGAGATCTACTTACTGATATTATCAGTTTGATCTTGGGTAGTGTTGCCAAATCAAGATTATTGATTTTTTTAAATGGTAATAATTTTTCATTGCATATTCTTGTAGCTTGCTTGAGAATTCTTCAAAACATAATAAAATATTTTTTTATCAAGTTACTTCATAGCTTTTAGTTATGCGAAACCTATTCAGGGATTATCGACTTTTTTCCCCACTCAGTATATTTCATATCATATACAAACATATATAGATATATAAAACTGCTTACGTAATCGTGGAAGATTATAAAAATAAAGAATATTATAATTCAGATAAATATATTCAATTTGTAATTCAAAATTTAATTTGACGCATATACATAAATTTTGCATTTAATGCTATTATTGGATAATTTCTAAACAACATATAAAATGATATTTGAAAATATTTTTTACTAAAATTAGCATTTGATAATATAAAATTAAATAGAATGAAAACTAAATGTAAAAATGTTGCCCTAGATTTTATAAATTATGTTCTTATGTACATATATTTAAAATTAATTTTATTTTTTTTAAAATGCACTAATCCCACTTGAAATATTGTTTCAATTTGAAAAATAATGAAAAGTTATACAATTTATAAGAGAATAAAATTTTATATAAATTATGTCTTAGAAAATAGCATCATGTATTCATAGTCAGTTCTTATATTCAAGACCGTCTAAAGTTTAATCTTGAAATGTCATAAATCAATCAGAAGAGAGAAGAGTTGCATTAACATCTTAAGACATTACTTAAGATAATCTTGAAATAAGAATTAGCTATGAATACCAGCTTATATAAGACTTTTTACTGTTTACTTTCTATTTCTAATTTTTGTTTATTACATCTGTTTTTTATCACAGTGTTAAAATGAATATCGAATAAAAATTTATAATATTTACATATTTTATTTTTATTTATACTTGTATGATTTTAAATTTATATTATACATTGTATTCTTACCATACATGTATAATAATAAGTTTCTGATCTTAATCCGGGCTAAATACGGACTTAACGGATCGAAAAATTAATATTCCTGTTCAAATGTTCATGTACATCAATTAAAAAATAAAGTATCAGCGATATGTCGCCTATCCCTATTAAAAAACAATATATGGAAAATCTGAGAGAATACAGACATGTCGCTATAAATGGGATATAAATGAGTTAGTTTGTCCTCCTATCGATCTTTAAACACACGACGAGTCATCGTTCTTACGAAATTAATTCGAAACGAACCATTGCGAAAATAAATACAATTACGAAAGCCGATGAACATAATGTAAGAACATGATGTAAGAATATAAGGTGTTTTATTATGCATGATGGTGGAATCAAATTTGAGACGACGAATCGAAAATGTAGCCTCAAATTTAATCGCGACACAGTAGCATTGTGGAAATATATAATTTAAGGCTCCTGAGAGTACTCACTCCAACCATATTGAATTATGACATCATAAGCAAGAAATGTGTATCATAAGTAACACATTGATTTTTCTTGCGTGCTATTTGTAAATAAAGAAAATTTGGATGAAACGAAATGATGAGATCGCTTTAATACATTTGTAAAATTGGACGAAAATTATTCTTATCTCCCCTGATAGACAGTAAAGAATCGAAAAAGATTCGTTGCCTTTTAAGATTATTTACTGATTGTCAAGGGAGATAAGGATAGTTTTTTTCGTCCATTTTTACAAGTGTTTTAAAAAGATCTTATCATTTCGTTTCATCTAAATTTTCTTTACAAATGATATGTAACAAAAATCAACATGTCATTTCTCGCTTATGACATCACGATTCAATATGGTAAAGTGATTATTCAGGAGCCTTAATTTGAGATTAATAACCGTAATCTACCGTAATCACCTTATATCATAATCAAGAATTGAATTATAGTCAATTATTCTCCTCTCATTTGATGATTGGTCAATTCTTACAGATTACTATTATCAGAGAGGTTTTTCTCTACTATTATAAACTAACTTTTAATCTGTCACAGATAGAAGCCATGCTTTTTGCATTTGGGACAACTCTCGGATTGACTGCGCATCTCGGGAGCGAATACCATATTCTTACATTATGAAAATATTATTTTACCTGAATCGAATTTTCAACATAATTCAATCAATATGCTTAATTAAAAAGCATCAAGAATCATGACGCAAAGTCAATTCTCTAATTATTTAGAACCTTCGTATATATAACGTTTATATCTAATTAATCCTCTTCGCAGAAGATACAAAAACGAAAAGTTTTTTATCACTGTAAAAGGGCACTATAGAATACGTTATAAAAGAATATAGAATACGTTACAACAATTATTCGGCGTCGCAATACTTGGCCTACCATATCTCGCGAGAGTAGCATTAATTAAAATCTATACTTAAGTTGCTTTCCTTTTAAGAGACGATTGACATACAATTATCGTTCTATCCTTCTTCAATAAATTTATTCAATAAAACAAATAAAGAGTGACACTTGTATCGATTGTGTTCTAAAAGGAAAGCAACATTATATAGTTAAAGCGACATCACTGAAATATAATTATGGAACACGCGACCCTCTATTGCCTTTATTAAGTGATGTGAGAGGTAATAAAAAATTAAAATTCACTAACTAATACATAGATGTTAAATGTACATCATTAACAACACAGATTAACTTAATCTAATCATTTTAATTTGATACAGTACACATGTCTCTCATCAGAGATAATTCGGTACATAATATCTGTAATAATAAAATTTGATCAGATTAAATTATACTAAAAAAAAGGAAATATCAGATATTTAGAATCTTTTTTATCGGATTGCGATATCAGCAAATGCACGTTTCAATATTATATTTCAGTGAGTTTAGGATCATTTATATTGACCATAATCTGTAAGACTTGATCATAGTTGAATAAGAGGGAAATAATTGACTATAATTGGTCAATTCTTACAGAATTATAGCATAAGTTTATATTACATAGATTATAGCCCGTGTAAATGATCGCGAGTATTCGAAACCAGGCACATGGAGATAAATTCGCTAAAAAAAAAAAAGATACATTTAGTAGAGGAAGCAACAAAGAACGTATAAACAAATACAAAGAAGCATACATATGTCAAATCAAAGTTCCAGCCAGTAACCATGGCACTTATTCTTAAAAAGAATGACTCGTCCGAAGGATATTTCGCGACTTCATTCAGAACAGCTCAAATTTAATAGTCATATCAATATCATGCGGACGCAATAATACAAAATGCCACTAACTACTTCATTTCTCTCTGATTGAATTGCTTTTTAATTTCCTGTTAGTTTCATATTTTTAATGTTCGTCATCTCGAGATCATCGATTAATAAATATCTTATCTGATATCTATTTTCCCATTCAAACACGGTAGATTTACAGCTGCAAACTGCTCTTTCAATTCGGCATTAATTCCAATCTTTGAATTTTGATTGGAAGCTGTAATAGCCGTACTAATGAGAAAGACTTTTTTGTCTGTGGGGTGCGACCAAAAATTTGCTTCATAATTGCAGGTTTGACACTTATAAAAGAACTGTGTCAATAATCCTCGGCGACGCGAATTTATAAGTATCCAATCTTTAAATTTGCACTCAAATCCTGGTGCATGACCATCAAATACCCGATGCATTTCTTTCATAAAGAAAGAAATATTGATAATGCGATCACCTTCAGGCTCATGCTCTTGGATATGATTTATACCTGGAATGTCGTCTTCTTCACAAATTCGGACATTTTCATATATATCTTTATTTAGCTTTGTACCCAGGTACGTTTCTAAAGTATTCATTACTTTTGAATTCATTGGCCTTGTTTCTGAGTACATTTCTAAAGTATTTATTTCTTTTGAATTCATTAGCTTTGTACCTAGGTTCGTTTCTAAAGTATTCATTTCTTTCGAATCCATTGCTTCAGGTGACCTGAATGAGTTTATTGACTCAATGGATTCACTTTTAATAATATTGTTAGCAATATAGTTGGCTGCCAAGGCTGCTTGTTCCATCATCTCTCTTTTACGTCGTCGCCTGCAAAAAATAATAAAAGTTATTGTAAAATAGGAACAATTTTTTTCAAAATTCATTTTTAAAAGGGAGCAATTGAATTTACGATATGTTAATCTCTGAATTTTTTAAATTTAAATTTGGGCACTGATGAAGACTAAGTAAGTCAAAACATTTGCATTGTACGAAACATAATCAGTTAAATTGTATTTCTTTGAATAATCTACATTATTTATTATAGCCACACGATATTGATTATATTTTTATTATATTTTCAAATCACTCGAATAATAATTATATTGATTTATTCAGACTATATAGACTAAATCATTTTTTAGATGAATATTTGTCATACCAGGAGTTCCTTATTTTTTGTATCTCTATGTTTAATCATTATATCTTTTTCGTCCCCATCGCCAACAAGATTTAAAAAAAAAACGCAATTCTTTTTACTTATAAATATTAGTTGCAATATAAAAATGTTTATTATGCGAGTCAAGTTGCAAAGATTTAAAAGAAATAGAAGAATTCATAAGGGTTTTCCGAAAGATACTGGACTTTTGGATTAAAAGATGATCTTAAATATAATAACCATGAATACTAATCAAAGATTGAATACTACTATCAATCCATTACCAAAATAAGTAACTGTAATGGTAATCAATAATGCGTTACTTTCCATTCCTGAATAAACTTTATGTACAATTACATGCAGTCAAGACGGAGTAAAATACATATATTTGTAAAAGTTCATTGTAAAAGTTCATAAAAGTTTAATTTAAATGAAACTATATTAGTATTCATGATGAAATGAATAACATTGAACTCATGCCATGAGTACATTTTTTGTTTAAAAAGGCTTAACTTTAATAGAAATTTTTTTAAGAGATGAAAATTTGTTGAGAGCACCATCGCATATAGTAAACTGACTACCGAAGTACTGACTAGTCTAACTATGAGTTGTTAACAAGCGGGATTCGATTCTCAGCCAAAATAATACTTTTCGCAATAAATTCTTCGTAGTTTTTAAATTTCATTAACATATGACAATTCTTGTTAAAAAGATGCTTATTAATATCAAAAGATCAAATCTATGTTTGATATAAATTTATTGTCATATTGCTATTGTCAGATCTGTTTTAAAAATAAAATAACATAATAACATAATAACATAATAAAATATCAATTCCTTTAATATATGGCATGACACAATTGAGAATACTAACCTTAAAACATATGTTTTCTTTTTAGAAAGTCTTTTAGTACAAAGAGTTAAATATCTACCCTGGCTATAGGTTCTTCCCATACTTAATGTGGATTTGTGACAATTTCACTATAAGAGATTGAAGTGTTGTGAGACACTTTTTTTTGGACTCAGATCTTCACTATTGAGTATATATGGAATTAACTTGTATATAAACATATGGTTAGCTAACTTGAAATTTTTGTTTCCTTTCCTAGAAAGAAGAAAAAGAAATAAAAAATCAAAGTTGATGCTTGTGTCTATAGGGCTTTGCCCTAAAGCACTCATGGAATTAGGATATTAATACACCTCAAAAATTAGTAAATTATGAACTATTGGAAAGCAAATTCTTTTGCTTTTTTCACAGTGCCTTTTCTTCTCCATTGCTCTAAAAGCATTTATGAAATTATATGAAATCTTGATATTATATGATTATATAGATAATCAATCATTATACAGATAATTGCTATCAATCTCATTCATAATGTATTATTCTTCAAAAAAAGTGAATTATATAAAATATTTATATCTTAAATTAAATCTAATTCTTGACAAATATCATTTTGAAATTTTATTCTGACAAAATTATGACAAATTATAACACATTATTGCAAAATTTTTATTCAATTCATGCTATTATTGTGCAATATTATATGCTTATAATATGAGGTCTGTTTTTTGTGGCTGAAGTTTTTGTGGCTAATGTAAAGTTTTAGAACTTAAGGTGATTCTTTAGTAAATCGAGTTACTATAGAAATATTTAATTTTTTTACATAATGAAGCACTGAAATTAACGTGCAAAATTCTATTTTAAAATTCAGTAGGTTAACGATAAAATAAGAGAGAAACAAATGTTGAAACCTTTCACATATAACTTAATGACTCGCAAACGCTTTTTTGACTGCACGAATCTTACCATAGACTTGTCTCAAAAATGAGATTATAATACTATAAAAAATTACGATTTTAATAGTCAGAAAAAAAGTAATAGGTCAACAGCCATTCTGGAAAGATATTACATGCATAAAGTTGCATATAAATTTAACCTCGATAAATTTAAACATAATCTCATCTTGTTTTTCATTTAATGAAGATGCATGATTTACTATCATATGTTTCTTATTATTTCATTAAAATATATACGTCGTTCTATAATATTTCTCTAATATTTTTTCTTGTCTCTAATATTTTATCCAAATTATGCATATTTGTAATTTTTGAATGGGCTTTTGTGAGACACCCCAAATTTTCAGCACTTTACTAAAAAATTACCTTAAAGTGAGGTATTATATGTCTAATGTTTGGCAAAAGTGAGAAAGAAAGTTCTAATACAGGCATAAAAAACAGACGTATTACATAAGAAACAAGAAATATATAAAAGAACAGACCATTGACTCGGAGTCGAGTCGGTAAATCGAATATGCTATTAAATGAAGTTACAACAGCAACGGAAATGCCGACGCCCTGTCGAAAAACACTGAACTTTCATCTTTTGTTTTAATTGATATGAGAAAAATTCACAGGCAGATATCCACAGTCCGTTCTTAAGACTATTTAAAGCAATTGAATCTCTTTTTAGTTAGAACTTCTTGCATGATTCATCTTTTCTCTTTTTCTTTTCAACGTGAAGAGAAAAGGAAGAAAAATGAACAATGCAAGAACTTCAACTAAAAAGAACAGACCTAAAGGCACCTTTTCATGCTGATGCTCGACGCTCGAAAAAGAGTAATAAGGTACATTTTCACGCGCTGTTAAAATAAGTAACTGGAGCGACAGATTTGTCATTCATTATCTAATGACTGAAATTTTAGTAATTTGAACAGTTTCAACTACAAGCTCAAACGCTGATAGCACTGACTAGAGACCTTTTATGCATAGTCTACAATGGGCAGTAACAGTAGTTGATTAAGGAATAGGTGCAATCGACCAATCATAATTGATTTTTCTCACATTCAACTATGATTAGTCGATTTCTACGCCTATTCCTTAATCCACTACTGCTACTATCCATTGTAGATGCATTAATAAGAGACTGGCCATAAGGATTTCATAAATATAGACTCTCTCATTCTTCCATCAAATGTATATATCATGCACACACTATTAGTGAAGGAGTGAGATGGCCTATATTCCTTTCTCGCTCGAAGGAATTTAACAAATTTTTATGATTAAATTAAAGGGTCTGATTAAAGGGTCTCTGTACTGACATAATGGATTCAATGGCATAATGGATTCATTCAATATTACAACCGCTGATTGAGCGCTCAGTGAGCTCTTATATCTAATTGATGTTTTCAGATCTAATGGAATATGCCAATCAGATGCAAGCGCTCACTGAGCATTTTTCTCGCATTCGGTTATAATTGGTCAGTTTCTTACGGCTTATATATAACACCTGAAAATACCTATTGTAAATCTAGATTTACTCCTTAAAATCTCATTGTAGTCACTTTAATCGGGTTTAATAACAATAATAAATAATATAGGATATAATAGGGTATAATATAGGATATAACATAGGGTATAATAAAGGGTATGGTCAACGCGATGCTGTAAATGCTTTTGAAATATTTTTTAATTAGTCAGTTTGTAAAATTCTTTCTTCTAATTGATCCATCAAATGCTTCAAAGTATTTGTAGCGAGATTTTGACCACAGCCAAAAATAATAAAATTAAATGAAAAAAATAATAAAAATAATAAATATATTTTTATTATATATTGTTTACACAGACACACACACACACACACACACACACACACATTTTTTGTTAAATAAAACATACTACATCCTAAACATACTAAATATGTATTTAAAGTTATGTTATTATGCGATTTTGAATATTGAAATATAAAATAGGTTCTTCTGCATTCCCATGAGAATCAATAAATTTTTCTTATTTCTCCAATTTAGAAACACTGTCCTATATTAAGACATTAGGAGACATGGTAGTGACTCCTAATACTGATATGATATAATGATTATTACAAATAAGACATTTGTCTTAGCTATCAAGTTAGAACAAACATTTCTGTTTGTTACTATAATCAGTATCGTCAAAATAGAATTTTCTATCTCTAAATAGAATTTATCTTACCATTATTGTTTGAGCAGATTTAGTTTGTAATGATTTGATTCAAGTATTTATATATTTAAGTTAACAAAATCTTATAATTTAAAATATGTTTGAAATGATAAATATATGCTTGACAGTCTACAACTGCTGCATTTAGTTGAATCAACTAATATTTTTTTTTTTAACAACTTTTTTCAATGTGGAATATAATTACAAGTCTATCATAACTCATTGATAGACTGAGTAATCAAATGCAGCAAAGAATAAAAAATTAGTAAAAAATAAATAATCATGAATAGTAAAAATATAAAGTGTAACAAGAATAAAGTAAAAAATCTGCAAATTAAGATATAAAAAATATGATCAAATATAACAGACATATAATTGCATACAATAATAATGGTTAAAATTTTCACATACTGTTTTATATATATTATATATTAGGTGTACAACTTTGCTTCCGTCGTTTTCCTATAGATTTAATGATAAGTGGTGGTCGAAATAAATAGATCATAGACGTCATACAATAAACTTGGGCATCTGTCAACATAACCCCATAGAAACATTAGTCGATTTGTGTCTGCATCATAAAGTTATTCTCAATTGAAAATGTCAGTTTACGAGCCAAATTCTCGTCATTTGCGGAAGGTTTTAATTTTTTGCTCTATGAAGAAATCTGCGGCTGAGGCTCATCGAATGCTTTCAAATATTTATGGTGAGGTCGCTATTAGAACGTGTCGTGAGTGGTTTCAACGCTTCAAGAACGGTGATTTTGACGTCCAAGATCATGCTCTTTGATGGGACCAGCTCGGCGTAGTGTATTATGAACTGTTAAAACCGACTGAAACAATCACAGGCGATCGGTATCGAACGCAATTGATGCGTTTGAGCCGAGCATTGAAAGACAAACGGTCGCAATACAACGAGAGACACGATAAAGTGATTTTGCAGCATGACAATGCTCGATCCTGTGTTGCGAAAGTGGTCAAGACATACTTGGAAACGTTGAAATGGGAAGTCCTACCCCACCCGCCGTATTCTCCAAACGTTGCTCCCTCTATCACTTGTTTCGATCAATGGCACACGGCCTGGCTGACCAGCACTTCCGGTTTTATGAAGAAGTAAAAAATTGGATCGATTCATGGATAGCCTCAAAAGATGACCAGTTTTTTCGACGCGGAATTCGTACGCTACCCAAAAGATGGGAGAAAGTAGTGGCCAGCGATGGACAATAAATGTATAATCAGTTTTTTACAATAAAGCCTCGAATTTCGGAAAAAAACACGGCGGAAGCAAAGTTGTACACCTAATTTAATATTTCAATTGTTAATAATCCACTAATAATATATTACTAATTATACTTTATTCTTATTACGACTTATTATTTATATCTTTCTAATATATGTTCATGGTTACTTATTTTTATTTTTTATTGGTTTCCTATTCTCTACTGCATCTAATTATTCGATTTACTAACAGATTAGAGGAACTTGTAATTCTATTCTAAAATCCAGAATTCATCTCAACATGTACAATTCAGATCGTGATGTTTTTATTCTTATTGTTCAATTGATGAAGATGGTTCAAATTAAGCAGAACCGAAACATCCAGCAATTTATTGATATTAAATATGTGATTTACATGTGATTTATATGCGCACTGATATCTATATTTGATTATCAGCTCCATTTTAAAATAATTATATAATGAAATATATACACACCTTCGTACCCATGCTTTCTTTCGGGAGAGTCTATAGAAGGACGGAGGCAGCTTTTTTACGCTATACTTTACCATTGAGTACAAATTATAAAAATATATACTTTTATATGTGAAATTACGATTAGAAATTGTAAAACATTCACTTGAAACAAGTTACTTCAGGTACGTTCAGGAAAACACCAGGAGAGGTTATTAGCTATTAGTGTTGTTTCTGTTTGTTTTTTTTAAGGTGCCTTTTCATTCTGACGCTCGATGCTCATTCTGTGTCCAAATAGATCACGTGATCAAAATGAACGCTTGATATTCGTCTATTTTATCGCGTTGCGCATCGCGCTGGTGTGTAGGAGCCTTAATGATAAAATGGAAATACAGTGTGTTCTTCCAACAAGCAACACAAATGACACAATGAATCATTACATCCTTGTTGTTTGCCAATGTTAAACAAAGATGACATTGTGTACTTTCCAATAAGCAACACAGTGCGACACAGTGATAATGTTATTTTTGATGTCACTTTTGCAAATTTTTATTCCTTAAATCCTTAGGTTCTCTTTCTTCTTCTTTTTCTTATCTATTCAATCGTTAAACTGGAAACAATGAAAAGCACAAGCAACAGGAAATAAGAGATTTCAATCTATCAGAAAGCGTCCATTCTAGTATATATAGTTTCTGATAGGTTGAGATTTGTTACTTCTTGTTTCTATTGCCTGTGCTTTTCATTGTGTTTCCAACTTAATGATTGGAACATTAACCTAAGGAATATTGGAAAACCAAGCAGGAGATTAAGAAGAAGAAAAAGAATCTAAGGATTTAAAGAATAAAATTTGCAAAAGTGATTCCCCGAAGAGGTTATCACAGGATCTTCAGATTCAAATTCATCGCATAGTACTGTGACCCTTTTTCTTGAATCGGAAATCAAATTGGAAATTCAAAAAAAGAAAAAGACATCGATCATTTTAGCAGGTTTCGAGCCAGTAAGGTAGGAAGGACTAAAAAAATGTTTTTTGATATGTATATAAACGTATCTTTAAATAAGATAATAATAAGAAAAGCAAATTCACTAGCTTTTGATTGAAATTATAAATACTTTAGTGAATTTTTGCTTTTTGTAATGTTTACCTTTCAAGATACACAATTAACGATCCCAGTATTAATTCGGCTTCAATTATTATTACTAGTATCATTATATCATATAATAATAATATGGTCAGTGTAGTCTAAAAGATACATTTCTAATTATGATACTCATAAATGTTGGATTTGCGTAGTAGTATATGATGCCTGAAATCCAATATGTAGGATTTACATATGTCCATATCCATAGTCAGACTTTATATTTAAAGCTTTCTTAAATTTATTTTTAGACACTCAGTAACCAATAAAATAATTTGTAGAGCATCTGAAGATAAATTTAAGGAAACTTTAAATAAAGACTTGATTATGAATACAGATAATAGTATATGATGTACATTTGATATCCAATAGAAAAATTTGTTTCCTGGAGACAAAATATTGATGAAAATCGAATTCTTTTATTGAACACTGTATCGTCATACGTCGAATGTTGTGTGAATTGTACATAAGGTTTTAAATAATATAGTGTACATATAAAATAGTGTTATTGCCGTTGACATTCAGATTTCAGTGTGATTGCCTTCAGCAGATTCAACAGTTAAGTGAGTATTCGCTGCTATTGATGTATTCTTCTAGATCTAAAATCTGATTGGTCTGCTGAACGCAATCACAGTGTTTGTAACATTGTAATAAAAACATTGTATTAAAAGGTAAATACATATTTTTTATTTATAATAAAATTGGAAACAAGACCGTTTATGTTAAATGCATTACTTTAAATACAAAGCGCTTATAGTCTGAATGTTAACATGAACTATTATATATATTTATATAAATGAATTAATTTCAGAAATGATAATTGCATGCTGATATGGTTGTCAGATTTTTAACGCAATCAATTTTATTTATGTTTCAGCTGCACTCAAAATCATTGTATCTATAATGTTATACTTTGTATAACATGTATAAAGTTTTGTTGTCGAAAGTGTTTTAATTCAGACTTTAGTTAATGAATAAAAAAAGTTACACATATTTTTTTAATTTTAACATATACTGCCATGAGAGAAGGAAATGAATATGCATTATATATTTACATCTGGAATAAGGAGAAGCAATTAAATTGATGCTAAGATTGTACTTGAGAAATCTGCGTGATGAGGAATTTGTCATCACAAAGAAACAATACTTGTTGTTTTTCATGTTACTCTTCCTACATTGGTAAGTTTTTTGCTTTTAAATTATCATCCTAATAAACGAAAATTTAAAAGGATTTGATGATCTAATTGAAAATATTGTTAATATTGAAAATTCTTAACAATCATTCCTTAATCTTAACGAGCTGAAAACGAAAAGAAACAGAAGCACCAAGATCATGTAAGTATTTTACTTTAATTTGATATTTTTGTTTTCTACATGAGGGATCAACGCAATAAATGTTCTTATATGAAAAATTTTTTACTGGACTTTTTACAACATGTTTTATTTTTACAGCATTAAAATGGAAGTAATACCTGGAAAAAGGAGAGATAGTTTTATATATGTATATGACGGATATAAATATAATATTGATAAAAGATATACTCATGTATATCGCTGTGCAAGAAGACGCAGTCATTTATGTAGAGGCGTATTAATGGTACAAAATGAAAAATTTACTTTAGGAAATACACATAATCATCCAAGTGAGCCTCATGTTATAGATGTTTTCAAATTAAAAAGAGAAATGATTCAAATGTCTAAACATACCACTGCAACATCCAAAGAAATATATGATACAATTTCTCAAAAGAATCAAAGTGCAGCAGCAAATATTTCATATAATGCAATGAAAACTCTGTTGTCAAGAGAAAAAGTTAAAATGCGACCTCCAGTACCTTCAAGTGTTTGTGATTTAAATGATTTACTTAAAGAATATGAATTTACAAAACCTGTTTATAAAAGCTGCATTATATCTGAAGACAACAAATATTCATATATTTTCACTACTGATAAACTTTTAAAATTATTAGAGAAGAGTTCTGAAATTTATGTAAATGGAACATTTTCTGTAAGTAACTGTTGCTAATATTTTGTTTAAATATGATTAAATTTGATAAATATTATTAGAATATTTGTGAATATATACACAAAATATGTTTGTGTTTATTAACGTATATATATATATATATACACATGTTATTTTAGGCTATACCCAGAATGCCAAAGTTTGTCAAATTATTTTCAGTACATGTGCGATACATGGAGAAGGTATTGATATTGTACATGAATATAAATGAATATAAATTATGTATATTTATTGTGTCTTTTATAATACTTTGTAATATTATCTTCTAGGGTGTTGTAGTATTACTTATTCTATGTGAAGCGAAAACAGAATTTGTTTACAATTCGATATGGAAAGAAATAGTTAAATTGGTACCTAAGTTGCAAAATAATTTACGTTTTATAATAATGGATTATGAAAAAGTATTAATGAATACTCTTCATAAACAATTTCCTCAGGCATCTTTATATGGCTATTGGTTTCATTATTGCCAAGTAAATAAATCATTTTTTAATGTTAAACAAATATCGTATCAATCAATTTTTTGTCCACCAATCTTTTGTCATTAGATTATTTATAAAACTTTATTAGAGTATTTGAAAAACTTTTCATATATAAGTAACTTTTCATAAAATACTTATAAATGATACTTAAAATTAGATTTTTATCAATTTACTCATATGTTCTGTATTTGTAGGCAGTTTTGAAAAAATGGATACGGTTAGGACTTACCATACCGCATAAGGTAGTGTCCATAGCAATGGCGTTAGCATTAGCACCACCAGAAATGTTTTCACAAGGTTTAAATCTTATGCAAATAATTACGAATAAAGAATGTTATTTTTATCCTAATATGTTACTTTTTATGGCATATATGAAAAGTACATGGCTCTCAATATTAGAAAAAGTTTGCGTATATCGCTGCCCAAATAGGACTACTAACTTTGTAGAATCGTTTCATAATATCATGGGACATAAAATGCAAACGGTTCATCCAAATTTATGGATATTTTTAAGTAGGTATAATACTTTATTGATAATACAAATCCTATATGTTCTATGAAATGCTATATATAGATTATAATATAAAGATTAAATGGATACCGTAAGTATAGGTGACTTGAGACAGTGTAGATAATTGGGACAGCATGTATTTTTGTTAAATTCATTCAAGGAATTCATCCATAATTTTCTAAAGGAAGTGTAAAACTTAAACTTTCTTTCTCCCAAGTTACCTGCACTGTCCCAAATCATCTACATATTTACGATAGTTCAACTATTAATTTTACTTAATATTTAATAATTATTCCCAATGCAATTAATTTTTATCTAAATTTTTGTAGATAATGTTTCTAAACTAATTATGAATCAAGAAACCAATTACGATCGTGTAATAAACGGTCAACAAATGACAAACATCCGTTTTCCATCTAGTATGTTTAGAAATACAAAAATACGAGACGCACAAAATTATTTATCTTCTGGTCTTTTTTCTTTAGAACAATTTCTGCAAGTTTTTGATAATGAAATGAGTTATCAGCAACATCAAATGTCATCATTAATTGGTGAGTATTTAAATTTAGTTGGACCAACATAAGGTATAGTTATTACACGCAGTTATTACAGTACATTTTATGAATTATATTCTTGAATTAGAATTTTTATATATAGAATTATTTTACCCATATGACCATGATATATTGAACTTGTATTAATTTCATTGGACCACAATTATCTTTCATCAGATTTAAGCTTCTTATTTCGTAACAAAGAATCAATTATGTAGATAAATATAATTTATTTGTAATATGATGTGTATTTACATATTTTTACAATTACTTTTTATAATTTTTTTAATTAATTTTTCAAATTTAGATCTCAATGTTGAAGACGAGGAAATATATGCTGATTTGCTTACAGAAGAAACTGTTAATTCAGGTAAAATTTAAATAATTAATAATAAATTACCATTTAAAATATAACAATAAATTAAATCTTTTTTATTTCTTTAATCTTAATTAGTTTCAACTTCTGAGTTTCATATCGAAAAAAGAATCAGAGACGAAGAGGAGACGAACGAGAGAACAATTTCAACGAAGGTAATATTATTATTTTACACACACACACACACACAAAACTTATTGTATATTAGTACAATAAATTATTACCATTATTAAAAAATCTCGCACTATTTTTATGAGAAAAGTTTTTGATCAATTTATTTTAATTTGTCACATGTTAATTCTTGCATTCCTGATCAAAAATGCGTTAAGCATAAAACTTGCATCAATATTTCTGAATTGAAAGTCTTTTTATATGATTCATTCATTGTTCATTTGTCTATTGAATTACAATATTGTTGATGTACAGAAAATAGCGTCCAATAATATAATCTAGTGACAGATGAAATTGTATAATTATAATTATATTATTGTTATGCAGGACGACCATTAGGATATGTCTAAACAAAACGATTACTACTTCGCAATAAACTATATCATACAAAACAAATTAACAATTTTCCCCTACAAAACAGCGGTTTTATTTGTTCGGTCTATTTGTTGCGAAGTAATAATCGTTTAGTTTAGACACAATTCTAAAAGTAATACTGCTTTCTTAATTTTAGCATCTTTTGGAATAATGCGCACACGTGCGAAATATATGGGAGTGTGCTTATTACATTTCTAAAGATGCTTAAATTAAGAAAGCAGCAACTATAACAATAATATGATTCTACAATATATATATATATATATATAAAATTTATTCCAATTTACATCTGTAATTCTAATGTTATCGTCAGAGTTTAATTATCAATAGATACAATAACTATAGAGGAAAAAATTGTAATTTTGTAGCATATATAAAATACTATAGCATTACAAGTATGTATACTTATTTATGCAGCATTTATATAATCATGAATTTAATAATGTTATGTATGTATTATCCAAATATTTATGTTAATCGCAATAATTCCATCTGTCACTGGCTTGATTTTTATTTCAAGCATCAGCAATATTATAAACTTATATAAACAAACATATGAACAAGAGATCTCATAAAAAAGATTTTCAAATGCTTTTTGCTCGAGAATATAAGAACGTTGTCATTATATTAATAATACTACAAATACTAAATCTGTAATTACAAATCATAGAATTTCATTAATCATTTTGATTTTGGAAGAACATCAAAATACCAGACCGAGAATATTTTTTCAGAAAAACTTTATTAATTGTAGTAAATATAAGTTGAAAATGCAGGACATTTCTATTATACATTTATGTTTACAAAAGATTTTGTACGCATTTTATTAATCTGTTAATCTGAGTACAAAAAATTTATTTCAATATTTACAAGAAGAATTCATACGATTTTTTTGCTTCTAACATCACATAGTTTAATATCTACAGTAAAAAATTAGAAATAATAACATGTTAACTTAAATTAGAAGTAATAACAAATTAATTTTTTTACAGTTGAAGCTAGGAAAAAAAAAGTTCAGGGAAATACTCACGATAACACAGGTAATTATTTAATATATTATATATTTGTAGTATCATATATATATACATATACAAGGTATCCCTTTTTGATTAGGCCCTTAAATGTAATAAATCAATTTTTTTTACAGTTGAAGATATGGAAAAAGAAATTGAGCAAAATATTTACGCTAATGAAGGTAATTATTTAATATAGTATAATTTGTAGTATTATATGTATACACAAATAAGAGAAGAAAAAGAAAGCCATGAACTGAAATAATTACGAGATTGTCATTTCATGATTGTGTTCCAAGTCCAAGTAACCGAATCAGTGCATATAGAATTGATATAATTGTATTTATATATTACATATGATCATTATTAAGACTCGCTTCGATTTAAAATAGCTTTCGTATATTTTTATTCTCATATTTGTGTTTATATACTTTTCTACTTCATATATATAATATTGTTTATATTTTATATATATAAAAAATATATATATATATATTATATACACATACATATACGTGACATAATACATAATATTCTAACATAGTTTCATATATTTATAGTAAAAGATCAGATGTTTTAAAGTAATATGTCTACTTAAATGTAATAAATTAATTGTTTTTACAGTTGAAGCTAGGGAAAAAGAAATCGAGAAACATACTTAAAATAATAAAGGTAATTATTTAACATATATTTGTAGTATTGCATGTATGTATTAACATAAATTAGAGAAGAAAACTACGGATTGCAACGAAATTATGAAATTATTTCTTCATAATTGTGTTTCAAATTTAACAAATCGAATCAGTACACAGTTTATAGAATTGATATTTGCACTTGTATATTTACATGAATATTACTAAGCACCAAAAAGCCTCGCCTTCATCCAAAATGGCTTTCGTTTCTTATTTGTGTTTAAACATTTTTGGTTAATATTAACTTAATATTATTTATATTAACATAACATATAACGTATAGCACCAACGAAATGCTAAAGACAGCCGGAAGTTAGCGTAACTGTTTTGAAAGAAGCCGATAATATAATACTAATTTTATTATACTAGTTTCGTATACATGTATATATATTTAAAATTATATATATATATAATCTTATTTACATTTGTAATTTTAATGTTATCGTCAGAGTTTGATTATCAATAGATACAATAACTGTAGAGGAAAAAATTGTAATTTTGTGGCAATATATAAAATACTATAGCATTACAAGTACGTATACTTATTTATGCAGCATTTATATAATAAAAAATCATGAATTTAATAATATATTATCCAAATATTTATGTTAATAATCGCAAATTTATATCCATTGTCGACAATGTTGTTGTTTTTCAATCATCTCTGGACTCCCTGGGGACCCCTATTGATAATCACGAGAATTTATCCAGGGTCGGCTTTAATAGCATCGCGTCGGTGCATATAGTATATGATATATATGAGTATATAAACACATAAACATATAAAATAATGGATTTCTTTATAGAACATATTCACGAAGTGTCTGAAGATGATTATGGATACTGGTTTATTAAAAAGAGTACAGAAAAAGGAAATGCTCCATTTTTTTCTGTAAAAAATATAAAATGGATTACAGGTAAAAGCAGATACATAATGAAAGAAAATGTACCATATGTTTAAATGAAAAATCTAACATAATCTTTGTATCACGTGGACATGTTGCTTCAAAATTACGTACAGAAATTAAAATATGATGTGAATAAGATGTCCTATTAGCAGTAACAATTACCATCAGTATTATCAACGATAAATAATACCATAAATCAGGTATGATTTATATTCTTACCAAATTGCACAATATTACTGTAGATTAAGTTTACTGTAGATTAAAGTTTTATTCATACACTTCTTTAAATAAATTTCTATTTTTAACATAATAATCTTTTTGTTACAGATAAAGAGTTTCAATTTATGAATATCCCTATCTACATTGTGGTTTTGAGAATAAATTTTTATTTTTATTAAGAGCTTTTCAGCTATAGATGACATAATGAAAGACACTGTCAGACACAAGAGTGCGATGTAAAATTGTTCATTGTTTGAACTGCCCAATTTTTTATCTTTCCTAAATAGTTAATAGCTATGACATACAAATCACGAAAACTATAAAGAATTGGTCCCTGGGACCAATAAGAGACCGGATCATGTAATCAATTTACCATTCTCTTTCCATTCTCTAGTGTAGAACTGTCATGATGGATAAAGTCATTATACATTAAGCTTACTCAACACTTATCACAGCAAATCAAAAGCATCAATGATCATGTTTAGCAATAAAAATTGATCAAAATATCTTAAGATATTAAGGATGATGTTCCATGATAGTCGGCACTTCAGAAAACAGAATCTTAAAAGAATAAACTGGATATAATATATATCCAAAATAAAAAACGGATGGCGAGAGTAAATTTTATCCCCAATTGACTAATCAACGCTCACATCAGTTTGCATGAGGATTCGGGTTTAATGCAACCAGAGGTGCTTTCCAGTAAAGACACAGTTCAGGATTGGTAAAGACTGGGTTTTTTTTTATTCAAAGAATAAAATATACTATTTCTTCTTAAATATGTTTTTAATGCTTCAAATATGCTTTAAATAATGCTATAAAAAACATTTAAAACATATTAAAAACATCAATTAAGTATATTTAAATTGTTTAAAACATCTTTTTTACTACCATGACATAGTCTATGTCGAACTATGTAACACAGTGAATCGTTTCATCCTTATTAATGTAGGCAAACAACAAGGATGTAATGAATTCGTCGTGTTGATTTCGCTCCATTATTCTGATTCGGTTCGAATTTTCGGTGGAAATTAGGGCTCTCTATTCCGTAATTCTATTCCACCATACCCTGTGATTTCACCCTTGCTTCGTGATTTTCTCCATTGTGCGTAGGGCCTTAAGCGAGGAGCACAGCTCTTACATAACGCATAATACATATGCATAAGAAAATGTACCAATCAAAGTTCTTCGTTTTTTTTCTTTTCATGAAATAAAAAATTCTGATTGGATTTCTTATATTTTAGGACCTGCGCACAATAAAACAAATATTAGGAATAGGACTAAATATTTCAATCTACTAGATACCGCGTATTCCGATGTAACTGGTATTTAATAGGTTAAAATTTTAGGATATATCAACACAAATTTACATAGTCGCATAAGAAAATTATCCAATTACATTTTACATGTGACTTTATAAGAGAAATGTGATTGGATAATTTTCTTTATGCATATGTTTATGCGGCTATGCAAGTTGTGTGGATATACTCTTAATATTCCTATTTGTAATATTTCCTCCATTATGCGCAGAACCTTATGTGTTAAGATTTAAACACAATAAGCACAAACAATTGGCACAGAGAACAGAGAATAACAAGTCAAATCAGAGCTCTGGGGATCGATTCTATATTTTAAAGTGAAAATTATAAGTGATCAAATTTACTAGAATACTGATTATTTCATTGGTCAACACCTAGTAAATTTGCTCGCTTTTATAATTTTCACCTTGTTTGAAGATACAAAATCGATCCCCTGATTGAACTGCTCGTTATTCACTGTTTCCTGTCCCTATTGTGTTTAAACTTTTATGCGTTATGCAAAAATCTGTGCTCCCTTTTAGTTAAGTGATTAGTGAGTCACGCCAAGCCGTCGATAGATGGCGCTGATAGTGCGCTGCAAGCTATTTGCTAGAATTTTCATCACTACATGTATCATAGGTCTGTATCATAGGTCACTCTGGCTACTCGCTACAGTTGTCTATAGTCAGTTCTTGAATGTTTCCTTTTTCATTCATTTTGTCGTATTAATTTCGCATATTCGTCGCGTTGTCAATTGTTCGTGGATGAGATTCGAAATCGTACAACGAGCAAGAAGAACCGGTTGGACGAATTATCGTGTGTTGTGCTGTAAACACGTGCGAAATCTTGGCACAAGGAAATCTTGGAGAACGACGTAAAAGATAGAAAAATACAAAAGGAAAGAGAGCAAAAGCAGAAATCCCACAAAAATGTCAGAGATTGACGCTAAAGTGAACATGTCGCTTGGTAAGTCGCCAGAGTCCCGACAATCTAACGGTTTTGCCAGTAATCCCGGATGAGCCCACGTTGCTTTCCCTCGCGTTGGGCAATGGATCGACAAAATGGCGTCGGCGCATGTTACGTGATATCACAGCATGCTTGCGTACGGTGCATAGAGTACCTGCATTTGTTTTTCGCTTTTACATATGGAAGACGTTTTCCTCTTGCTCCTAGTGTCTCCCAGAGGATGCTGCATAAAATGTACATTCAAGTACATCGAGGGCACGATAATGGGATGTTCTTCGTGAGGTGCCGATTGATCGATCGATCGACATGATGGCGCCTTTGTTAAAGCATGCTCGCGAGGGAGGAAATTCTTTTGAAAAGAAAGAGACTTCTTTTTCAGAAAAAAAGGCTAGAGAAAGGGGAATCAGAATTTTGCTCATATAGTATATATAATATTGCTCATATGTTGCTATTGGATAATCACGATCATTCTTTTAGTTAGGAAGAAGAAAGAGAATTCTGAATAAAAACGTGTGAAAGCAAATGCGAGAACTTCTCATCCATTCTAAACGATTCTGCAATCACGATTGTTTGTAATTTATTTGCTCATCGGGAAGAAGAAAAGATCTAACAGATTAATAGGAAATTTTATAGAAATAGCACGGAATGATAGGATGATTTATATGACAAGTTTATGTGCGAAGAATTGTTTTATGATTGCTGAAAATAATCAAATTTTATACTTGTCTCGAGAAAGAAATTGATGTCCAGGATATGTAGGTGCATGAACATATAGGAAATGTGATCAAACAAATTAGTATATAAAGCACTGTTTTATTTGCTTTAACTAATAGCATTTTATGATCTTTATTGCTTGCCTCGGGAAGAAACCTGTATCTGCATAAGTACATCCAGAAAATTCCAGCAAACACTGAGAAACGATCTGCGAATTTACCAGAATATTATTCAGAACATCATTTATATTTGCCTCAAATAACCATATTTTACTATTGCAATTGTTTGCTTTGGGAAGAAACTGATAGCATCAACGTTTCAAGAATCATGATTGAAATACCAGGAAATGATCTAAGACTTTGTGCTTGCCAGGATGTTACATAAAACATTGTTCTATATTTGTCTCAAGTAATCATATTCTACGATCGCAATGTATTGCTTGCTTTGAGAAAAACACCAGTGTCCAGAAAATATAAGTGCATCGACATCCAGAAAATGCAATTGAAATGACAGAAAACAATCCAAGATGTTCTAAAAAACACTTTTATTTGCCTGAAATAATATTCTCAGATATTGATCTTGCCTCAGTTGTTGAGGAAATACAGTCATATCGACGCACAGGAAATGCAATGTAATAACGGAAATCTGTTCCAGAATCTTGTTCCAAGAATTGCATCATATCTGTCATAAATGATTATATCTCTCAATTGTTTATAATCCTTTGCTTTGTTTTGCAAGCAAAAAAGAACGATGTATTATGTGACAAGAAATGGATAAAAATACCACGAATCAAAATCGAGAATATATACCAGGAATTTCTTATGCCTGGGATCACTCTGAAATTTTATACCAGCCTCTAGTCTACACCTTTAATACTTCTTGGTTACATGAATAAACATGAAGTTGTCTATCGTAATTGTATTATGTACATAGAACTAATTTCCATTTGAAGATAATGAAATTATGATATATGTTGGAATGTGTTTCCAAACTTAAAACTTTTTAACATAACAATCTTGTAAATGGCAATTTAATCGTCTTGCAACGTTGGATCTTCTTCGTAATAACGAAACAGTCCACGGTGATTCAATTACAGAAGAGAAATCGGAGTGAGATTTGCTATAGCAAGAGGATCGTGAATCGCGTTATTACTGATATATGTGACCTAATGCATATTATGTAATCACAATTCATCGCTAATTATATTACATATTATATGCACCGTTAATCTTCCCGACGATTAATTTTCACTAGGAATCATCCTGAGGAGAATTTATTGCATCAATAATGTTTCACATGTAATTTTCAGTTTGAGAAAAAGGCAATGGGCAATAAAACGCATTTCGAGAGGTTGTGTCAAGCATTGTGATTTATCTCTTATGAAAAATTACGCTCTCTTTTCACGCTTAGGACAAGCGCAAAACTTACGCAATTTTATATTTTTATCCGTTGCATCACGAGCAACTGTTATTCGCCCAGGGAATGCCAAATATGGAACGAGACGCTTTCTCACATTACACATGCTGGTATATCTCTACTGCTGTGTAACAGGAACTCGGCGAAACGATAAGATTAATTTCGCCTTTGTTTCTCTTCTATTGCTACAGCCAGAATGAAGAAAAAGGATTTGGAGAATCAAACGCGAATTAAAATCTCCTTTACCTCTTTGATGTGACGCTACTTCAAATTAATTTATAGTCTATTGACAATGCATTAGTATAATATTTACTGGCAATCTGAAAATGCAGGTACTCTAGTAGGCAGGCTGGTTTTAATATTCCAATGAAACTTCATCGTTTTCAATGTCGCGCAAATAATTCCAGGAAGCGATATATTTATGCGTTATTTATATCGATCAACATAGCAATCTGTACGGGCTCCTTGAAAATTCTTCTGAAATATAACGTTAAAATTAACGGAAGAACTCGTCATAAGAAGAATCATTGACTGGTTCAGCTTATGGAAAAGATAAAAAATAATGAAAAGAAGAGGACAAAGTAGAAATGCAATCCCTAAGAAGCAACGTTGCATTAATGGAGAAATATGAACTATCAGCGTTCTTTCTTTAATCGGACACCATTTTGAAGTAATCCGTAAAGCAATAAATGACAAATAGGGGTAGAGATTATTGAGTAAAAGTAATGATTATTGAAAAGCAAAAGAAAAACGCAATGCAAAAAATTACATTGCATATATTAAACTTTTTAATTATATTTTGATTATAAAGTTGAAACATTATTTGATTTTGTTTTAAATCAATATTGTATTTTGTTTCTTATTAAATTATTGGATTTTGATATTTAATTAGTGAATGATTTATTTATTGACTTTAAAAAAAATCTGCATATTTTATAATTTTTTTCGTGATATCTGTAAATTAGAATTTCTGAGAATTATAATTTTTTATATTTATTAATTCTCGTATTATAATTTTATATAAAAAGTAATTTCAGAAACGTTATCTGTTAATTTAATGCTCAGAATTAATCCATATTTTATTCTATTATAACAACCTGAAAAATATATGCTGCAAATATATGAGGAGATATTGCATGGATTGCATTCTACATATTTACAAGAATATCTTTGTAGGCAAAGATCTTTAGGATTATGAATGCTTGGGATGCTCTTTCATCTCAGCGACTTCTTCGGTGGGATACATGCCGAAATGATCTATATTCTAAGTGATAAATATTTACTTGAGAAATCGCACTCACGATGGAATCGCTGTCTGTGCCAAGATTTAGCATTAAGTGTTTCGACTTAAGAATTTCACAAAGATTAGATCCCACCGACGTACGTTTGCCGTCGTACGCTCATTAAATGACGCGCGTTTTCTTGCTTTTAAGATGAGATCATAAAGATGGAGAAAAAGAAAAAAAGCGCGGCAACCAATGGAAAACCCGGCGGCGCCAAGCGCAATCGCGGTGCCGGACGAGGCCGGGGTGGATTTAGAGGAAGAGGTGGTGCAAGAATCAAGCGCAATGTCGGGACCACTCTGAAAAAGCAGCAGCAACAGACCTGGCAACGTAATGCGAGTACAGCAGGCAACGCTCGCGGCGGTTTTGCTCGGAATCGCTTTAAGAGAAATGGCAATCTCATGAGATCACGTAGCAACTTGAGCTTGAATTATAAGCCAAACAATGTGAGAGGAGGCGCGTTCAATGTGCGTCGTGGCAGAGGCAATAGATTCGGTCTAACTCGCAGCCGGAGTCGTACAAACCTGACATTCAATCAGGGCGGCTTCTTCACGAACAATAAGAGCCCGCTGAAACGAACAAACAGCTTGCCTAATCTGCGAGATCCGAATTCTGTTCACAATCGCTTGGGCTATCAGAGCCCCGCTCAGATTGCCTATCGAAATCGTGTGAAACGAGCGAAGCAGCTGTTGTTGCAGAGACAGAATCAGAGACTGAACTTGCAGAATCAGTTTAGAGTGAGTGGAATACTCAGACATGCATATGATAAATATTCTAAATTACTTGTTACACACTGATGATGCGTGTATAAATTGTTACAGATGACACAACCCGGCCAGAAGACCGTTTTACTTTCGATGCAGCCGAGAACTTTAGGAAGGCAACAGATACTAACATCGCAACGACGCTTCACAACCGGTGGACTGCGATCCGATCAGATCGCTCATGCACAGAGACGAGCGCAATACGAACAGAAACTTCTACGAATAAAGTAGATGATACTTTGTTATATTTATTGCGTCAAATTAATTCATTAGGCTGGCTACTCTTTCATATTAGTACATAATTGAGAAGTATAAATCTTTTTGTTTGGCTTTATAAATACAGATTTATTAATAGTTTTATTGATGCTAAAAACGGTAACTAATTTTGTCCTTTTTGAGAGATATACAGGATATTTAAAGTATAATATGTTATAGCGCTTCTCGGTTGAACTCTACTCCAAACGTCAATTTCATGTGCACATTGGGAAGCGAGTATATACCCACTACTACACGCCAGCGACCACTCACCCTTGCACAGAACCGACCTACAACTATTACTAACCCGCGACAAATGCCCAGAGGACGATCGCCGTTCAGGCAAAACGCACAGCCTTTAAATATGGTATACAATTTTCAGTTAAGATTTCTCTAAAATGTATATCTGTTTCATTCTTTTTTTCTTCTATTTTAATCCATTAAGTATCATGTAATTTTTACGCGATTTTCTGTTTTAAATTCTTGTAACTTAGGTTCTGATCCAAATTTTTTTAGATCGCAATTAATATTTAGAGATAAAAGAAGAGTTGTTTTTTATAAAAAAAGATACAGATTGAAAGTTAAAATAAAGAAAATAAAAATCATAGCCTTTTTTATTGATAAATAGTCAACTAATTCAACTAATTCAAAAATTCAACTAATAAATAATTTCGTCTACTTTTTTTTTAGTAGACTGAATCGATAGGGATGATTATTATTTCAGTGATCTTTAGAATAATTTAAAAAATTCAAGGTGAGAAAGTATGAAAGAAAATGAAAAAATATTTTTTTTAATTTTTCTGAAATTCAACATTCTTTAAAAGTTCTTTTCTTCTTTTTCTATCTCCGTAATAATGAAAAAAAAATAAAAAGAAATAAAGTTGTAATTTAGAAATCAATTAGTTGAATGTTTGCCAGCAGTAGGAAGTAATTTATCTGCATCTTTTCCAGACACACCATTTCTCATCGCAAATTATATTTTCGGAGAACAATTCTTTTTACTTCCAAATTGCTACTAAAAAATTGTAATTAATATTCTAGTTCAAGAAGTTACAGCAAAAAAGTGTAAAGATCACTTGGAACTTAATGAATTAAAATATTTAGTCATTTTCTTAAATGATCACTTCATTAAAATTTCAGATTGACCGAGCACCATTATTCGGTCGACAGCGCTCAAGATCGAGATCACGCTCACGTTCGCGTACACACAACACGACTGCGTCCGATTCCAGTGGAGACGTTGACGATCGTACTTTCAGCGAAGTTATGTACAGTCTGTCAGGAAATCTTGGCGTTACAGGGCGAACTCTTAACGATCGATTTAGCTTTTAAATAGTGGCGTCGCAAATTCGACTTTATATCGAATTCATTACCAACGATTACATTGGTAATTTACCTGTAACGCTAGAAATAAAAAGTAATTTTTGTTTTAATATGTAGACAAAATGCTATTATTTTTTTCTTCTCTATTAAGTACGCGTGTGTTATTAATGTCAAATCATACTGTATTGATTAATCCATCTTCACAAATATCTTATCATTTGCTTTAATCGCAAAACTGTAATTAACTTCACCTGAAATATCGCTTCTTCACATCCGTTGTTAATATGTACAAATTATCTTTAGGAAATAGATATTATCGATAGATATCATACTTTCACTTGAAGTAATAGTAGCGATTCTTTATCTGTTTTATATGTCACGATTTTCATCTATGTGCAATAATTATATCTACAAAATCTTCAGTATTTTTTCATTATACGAAATGTAGAGAAAAAGATGTTATTTAAATACACGTATAGCAATTTCGATTACAATTTATTGAAATTTTTACATTTAAAAATGTGAAAGAAAATTAGCTTAAGTGATTATTTGTGTATAAGGAAGAGCGCATACTTTTCAAGTGTACTTTCTTTTGCTTTGAGAAATATACAAATCTTGGTGATTACTTATCCATCTTTTTAAATTAATATTGCATTCTAGATGATCTCTAAAATGTGAGTGTGAAACATTTGAATACCTATATAATTCATATATGTGTACGTACATAGATCACATTTTTTTATATATTTAACAAGAATTTTGATTTAAGCTTTAATTTTCCAGATTATACAATACAATTAAAACACATTCGAATGGAGATTAAACTAATTTTTGACTTATATTCGGATTCAGTTATATAATATAAGAGATTATTTAATAAATAATCATATACTGCAAAGTAGATTTTATTAAATTATTATTGAAATGCAGTTTAATTTATAACATAAAATATATGCACATACTCAATGTATAACTGGAAGTTGTTGGAACAAAACTCAAAAGTTTTTTTCTCAAATGCGTATCTCGTCCAATTTTTTTAAAATGATATTTATATCACGCTTATTTCTGATTCGGGCACATTGATTTTACATCACTTTATTTATTGTGTTATCCACTTCCATGGATAATATACAATGCGCATATTTATAATTATATCGTAAGTTTATAATCGTAATTTTAAAAGCTTGAAGAAGTTTTCTTAAGAAATGATAACGTACATGCGACGCTGAATATTACGCAGTTATAGAAATCCATTTGAAAAACGTGGACGATATTTTTATGCAGATATCATCATAGTGAAAAGTGAGAAGTGAAGTATTGTCCGAGAATAAATTGCGATGCTACTTATCGCTATTACAATAAAAAAAGAAATGAGCATAATATACACTCATCGCCTACTCAGTTCAATGTTGAGTGTCAATCATACGGATGCACACGAAGTGTCCTCGTGAGTGTCTTGTAAGTGAATTTGTTCATGCAGGATAACTGTCTGTCGAAATTGTAAATAAAACATTCAATTTGTCGATTTTTTTATCAATTATGAAACTTTATTCCTAGGATAGAAAGTGAAAAGTGAAAATTTTTATCATTGAAGAAAATTTTCACTTTTCATCCTAGAGAAAAAGTTTCATGATTGATACTCTGAAGAACCACCTACTCGGCGAACGCGTCTCGGTTCGGACTTTTACCTAGTGGGAACTTTCCAGCAGAGGCACAAATCGATAGATCATTCTGCTTTTGTTTCTTATTGATTATCGAATAAGGACAGGACTCTTGTGTCAATTTGTGTCTCTTGCCGAAAAGCTCTCTTCATTGATTAATACTTAGTGAGTTTGCTCATTTTTATAATTTTTACTTCATCTAAAGAAACATAATAAGCCCTCAGAGTCTGAACATGCCCTAAAAATGGCATGAATGTTGTGTTTGCTCTCAATTGGTAATACGTGCGTTCTCAATTAGGGTCCAAATTTACTGCCAATACTGCAAATGCTACAATAGTAAGTTAGTTATGTGCACTATAGATTTTCAGTACATTATAGATTGGCAATTTTGGAACACAGCCTGGTATTTCCATTATGTGGACTTGCCAATCAGAAGAGAGGATGGAGGGATAGATTCTGATATTCTAGGATTCTAGAAACCAAGATTAATTAAGAAAGAAGAAAAAATTCAAATTTGTTGATAACTTTACAGGAAGCGTGAATACTACTGTCGACAATGTACATGCATAGTTGTACGTAGTCCAAATTGTACTTTTGTGCTGTCATCATGTCGTTTATGTCGTCTTCAGTAGGGATGTGCGCGCGAAGAATAAACAAACAGGTAAAAATAAAATATACAAACAAAATATAAATAAAATATAAATAAGAGTTTAGATAAGGCTAATGAAAGTCATACGCTGTTATAAAAGCGGAGAAATAAGCAGATAATCCTCAACTGATTATCTTCAATTCAATGTTTCATCCCCTTTTGAATCTTCCTCAGCGAATACAAAATCATAGATCTTCCATTAAAAGCAAACAAATTCAGATACTTTTTAAATCAATGTTATAAATGTGAATCATTATTTCTGCTTTGTTTTTTATCGTTTCCCATTGAGTGTAATGTATGCTACATTTCTGACAAGTGTCTTGTTTTTAATGGAAGATCTATAATTTATTCGCTGAGGAAGACTCTAAAAGGAGTTAAAATGTTCGAAATAAATTGAAGATAATCAGCAACATTTGATCTATTTGTTTCTCCTATTTCTCCGCTCAATAATGTATGACTCTCATTAGTCTCATCTGAACATTTATTTATATTTTATTGTTTGATTGAGAGTCTTTATTTATATTTTATATTTATATATATATATATATTTTAATTGTTAGATAAAGATAATTTTACCCGTATTCGTAATCAGACTTTGTAATTAAAACTTCCTTAAATTTATCTTTAGATGCTCAGTAACCAATGAAATAATTCGTAGAGTATTTGAAAATAAATTTAAGGAAGCCTTGAATATAAATCTGACTACTGGTACATCTTAAAAAGATAAATTACTTTATTACTATATTACGTTGAATGTAGAATTTATATACAAAATAATTTAATCTTTAAAAAAAATATATGTACAATATAAAATCATTTAAATAATATATAAAATAATAAGACTTCAAAGAAAAAAATAAAATTAAAAATATTAGCCAATATAAAATAATCCGCTAAAAAAAATTGCATACAGATACGTTTACATAAGATACTTTGTTTTCTGCAGCTGTTAGCGCACAACACTTCGGTTATTAAACAAATGGTTCGAAATTTGGAGGTGCATGAACATATGGCGTACACTTTATTAAAAGAAGCTGGCATTCCTACCCCGCCTTTCTGGGTGGCAAAGACATCCGACGAAGCTGCCACTCTGGCCAAGAACCTGAATACGAAGGACATCGTGCTGAAAGCGCAAGTTCTGGCTGGAGGTAGAGCGAAGGGACAGTTTAGGGGTAGCAAGGTTAGCGGCGTCGTAATGTGCGATACGTGAGTACGTGACGGAACTGTAATTCACAGTAGAAAGAAATGAGAAGCTGTAATCTCTTTCATTGCAGAATCGACCAGGTAAAAGAATTGGCAGATAGTATGATCAACAAGATACTTGTGACTAAACAGACGGGAAAAGCTGGAAAGATATGCAATTCTGTGATGGTGACAACGCGTATGTTTCCACGTAAAGAGTATTACATGGCGGTGATGTTGGAACGTACCTTCGATGTAAGTATGAATATATATAATCCTATATTATTTTATAAGTTAATAAAATATTAAATATTTTACTCATTCTGTATATTAGTGATTTACATTATTAGACGTATCAATTTTTACTATTTAATTTTTACGATTTACTGACCTCCAAGAATTAGCTTTATATCATTATGACTCATTAATTGTAGAAATAAGAAAAAGAAAATATTATATAAAAATTAATTATAAAATGGATTTGAACACTCCTTATAATTGTAAGTTGCTGTCGCTCTTCCATCCAGAAACAAATTCAATCTAAATGCTCGTTTCACAAGGGGCCTGTAATAATCGTTTCCAAGCAAGGTGGAGTAAATATCGAAGACGTCGCTGCTACGAATCCTGAAGCTGTAATATATGTACCGATCGATGTGAAAAAAGGTTTAACACCTGAGCAGGCGAATAGCGTCGCTGATAAACTGGGACTCGTGGGGAACAGCAAGGAGATCGCGTCGATCGTCGCCTCCAATCTTTACGACTTATTCGTTGAGAAGGACGCCCTACTACTCGAGATTAATCCGTTCGCAGAAGACATCTGTGGTCAATGTACTGCAACGAATAAGATAAGATACGAGAAACAAGAGCATAATAAGTCTTTCAATAATAAGACTAAATAATGTTATATTCTGCTTATTACACAGATTACGCTCTGGATTGCAAATGCAATTTTGACGACAGTGCTTATTTCCGGCAGAAAGAGTTGTTCGCCATGAAAGACATAACCCAAATGGACCCGAAAGAGGTCGAGGCGGAGAAATACAAATTGAATTACATAGCTCTCGACGGAAATATTGGCTGCATGGTGAATGGAGCCGGACTGGCGATGGCCACTATGGATATCATAAAATTTTACGGCGGTATGCCGGCAAATTTTTTGGACGTCGGCGGCACCGCTACAGTCGAAACAGTGACGGAAGGCTTCAAGATACTATCTTCGGACCCAAATGTAATTAGAAAAATCGAGAGTTAAAATGATACAAAAAATTGATATATCAATCTTGCAGGTGGAAGCTATTTTAGTGAATATTTTTGGCGGCATAATGAGATGTGATATAATTGCTCAAGGGATCATAGACGCTGCGAAAGAGTTGAATCTGAACGTACCCATAATCACACGATTACAGGTGATTATCTTTAAGTTACATATATTAGTAACATTTTTTAAACCGCCTATTTCTTTGTAGGGTACTAATGTCGATAAAGCTAAACAATTGATATTGAATGCTAAGCTAAAAGTAATTTCCGTGGACGATTTTGCTCAAGCGGCCGAGACATCTGTCAAGTTAGCATCGATGATGAATATTGCGAAATCTTCGGATTTAGATATCACTTTTAGTACTAAATCACCAAAAAATAATTCTGAACTAATAAAAAATTGAAAGAGTCTGTCATCTTTGAATGAGTTTGTCAAATATTTTATATTTACATATTGACGAAATATATCTTTTTATCATATGCAAAACGTGTGTATGTTATTATTACATATGAATGATAAAATGCTGATGATTCATAGGCGAAATCCATAGTCCATTCTTAATCAAGACAATCTCAAGTGATATTTTAAGATATGGTTCTCTGATTGGTTCATGACATTTCAAGCACTAGTTTAAGACCATTTCGAATCTTGGATAATGACTGGATTCCGCATAATTTTTAGGAATATTAAAATAATTTAATTATACAGTGTCCCGAAATTTGAGGATATTATTACAGCGTGGAAAATCAAGTCGAAAAGTCCTGTATCATTTTCCTCTATAATTTTCCAATAGTTGACAAAATATTAATTATTAAATATTGCCAAATATTGATTTTCAATAATTTTTTATTCAAGTATTATCAATTTTACAGAAAAACAGCAAGAGATAAAAATTGTTTATTTTCTTTTCATAAAGCTCTAAAAACTTTTTCAAAATTTTTTATCAACTTTTCAGTATTGTATTTTCTAATTGAAAAATTGCTAAAATTGTAAAATGATAAAGGATTTTTCGATTTAATTTTTCATGAAGTTTGACGTAATAAGTTTGTAATAATATTGTCCTCGAATTTTTGCACAAAATTGTGTGTGTGTGTGTGTGTGTGTAAAGTTAAGTTAGTAATATTCTTTCTTTCTCGCGAGTGCATGAAAAGTATCCTTTTTTTGAAAATTATAATTTTTTAAATTGTTCCAAGTCGTTCAAACTTTGTATAGCATTTTTTTTGTCTTACATCGATTCAAAGCAGTATATATTGCTTTATTCCAAGTGATCATCTAATACAATTTTTAAACATTTACACTTGATCCCTTTTTTCAAAAAAATCAATTTCTTGCATCGCTATAGATAGATTTTTAATTGTTCAGAACATTGTTTCAAAAAGGATTCTATATGTCAATAAATGAAAATCTAAAAAAAATTTTTTTAACTGGTTCTTTTTTTTCAAAAATTAAACAATTTCTTATCGCTAGAAATTGTTCTAGGGTTACTACACCAGTCGATGAACAAATAAGAAATTCATGATATAAACAGAATTATAGTGCATGTATAAAAGAGAAAAGACAACAAATCATTCAAAGGTAATAGCTGGTTGTTTAATCTTTAAAAATATCATAAATTATCTTTAAAAAATAAGACAAAAATGATAGTTTTAATTAAAAAAGTGAAAAACCACAAAAACACTAGTGAATGACCAATAAGTTTTAATTAATGATCAATGCATAGTGACAGCAGTGATTATTCACTGATTCACAGCTTTAGAGAATGAAAAATAGACATGAAAAATATCAAAATACCGATCTCTAACCTCTGTTGATCACGAACAATATGAATGATCATTTACTGGTACAAAAATATCAATATTTGACTTCATAAGAAATATAATTAAAAACAAGTAAAATGCAATAATAAATAAACATTAAAATAAATAAAACTTTAACATTATACTATCCTAAAGAAGTTGTTTTTCAGTTCTTTGATAACAAATACTTAATATAAAAGTTATTTCTTTTAAAACGCGTATTCTATTTTGCTTATAGTAAATAAGTACATTCATAAAGAAAGATAAACATTTTCCTTTTTTTTTTTTATATAATATAATTATATTTTGAAGTGAAAAATGGTATTTTAGTTAAATCTGTGAAATTAGATTTAAAAAATATCAATTAATTTGCAATTTATTTTAAAATCTTATTATTTTTCTAAAATAGTCATTTACTGGTGATTATTCAGAGATTGGTGCAGTGACTCTAATTGTTCTACAAACATTCCAAAAGAGTAATTCCGTAAGTTAAACCAGAAATTAGAAAAAAGAAAATATTTTTCAACAAATTGATTCTTGGCCCAAGAGTAAACATACTTTTTTTCGTGTTTCAGTCGAGAACTTTTTGTTCTAAGGCTTTAAAAATTTGTCATACGATAAAAACGCACAAATAAAATAACACCTTTCATACCGTGTCTACTGGAAAGCACAACAAAGAAAAAAAGATATTAGTGTCGATTTATATCACACTATGTAAAGAAGTATAACTCGGTGTGATTTTCGCGTAAGGTGAGGTTCTGCGTAATGTATTGCGCGTAGGAAACGTCAAACCAGGGTGGGGGCCATGAGGGGCAAAGGCGGTAAACTGTAAAGCTTCTGGCAGTCCACCACACTGAACACTCCCAGTCATAGACTTCGGTGCCACAGTCCACGGCTGTCGCTCAGGCAAAGATGGCTACCATGTTGTCGCGGGCGATCTCACTCGCGGAAAATCTCGGTCGACTGAGCAGTCCCAAGGTATGTCAAGTCGATGGATTTTTCTGCATTCACGTTAATCGCATGATTTTGGCACGTTTATACGACCCCGAGATTGATACGGATCGGCGGAAAAGGAGAGAAAAAGAAGGATAAGCGAGTGCGAGCAAGACAGAGCGAAGGTCGCCGATCGCCATATTGGACAGCTGTAGTCTGCTAAATCAAGCGCCAGGGTCGTGAGCGATTTAAAGCCGAGCCCCGAGAATCTCGTCTGTAGAATTTCCCCCCCCCCCCTATAGATCGGCGTGACAGTTATGCAATCGATCGGGAAATCGCCTCTCATGTCTTTCCCTCGATGTTCTCGTCATCCGCCTTCGCGTTTTTATCGAATTACTGCTCGCTCGCGCGAGGGAATAAGTACTTGTCAAATAATCACTACGCATCGGCCTTGACAATTGTGACAATTGTCCTTGATAGCTTTTTGTTTCTCATTGAACGAGTTGAATAGAATGACACGGATTCAATTTGAATTGAAATGAAAGAATCGATATCCTTTCGTGCCATCCTCCCCCTATCTCGCGCACGATCGTTAAAATCCTCTCTTCTCTTTTTCTTGCTGGAATATAAATTTATTTTCAGCGATGAGACATGACCTTGACTTGCAACAACGACGCATGTGTTTGATTGTCAAAGTCATCGATGAGCAAATTAGCTAAGAAATTTTCGATTAAAAAATCGATAGTATTTTTTATGTCATGGAATTTTCCTAGTTTCGTTCTTATTATGACGATTTATCTGATTAGAATATCGATAATATTTTCGTAAAAAGTGTATCTTCATAAATTATGAATTAAAATTCCAATGAAAATAGGATTTTGGTTGAGCATTTATTAAGTTTCTATTTTTGTTTATCAATAACATATGTTGTTTAACCTTTTTAAAGGGCACATTTTTCTTTTAAACAAATTATTGAAATCACAGGTCATTTGTAGTTTTTGGGATCGTTGATTACGAATTCTTATGTCAGAATTACAAAATAAATAATAAATAATAAATAGACTTATAAAAGATCAATTTTCCAAAATTTCCAAAATTTTTTTCGGAAAAACTAGCAAGCAGAAAATTCTGAAAAAAATATATATTATAATATATATATTATAATTTCAGATATGGAGTACACACATAAAAATTTTCAGAGCTCTTCACGTTTAAAAATAGCGAATTTATTTTGAAAAAGAAGAGTTTTTTTACATTATTTTTTACATTGTAACAAAATTAACGTAAATAAATTAACGTAATTTTTCAAAAGTTGCATAAGTTAGATTCCTAAGAGTCTAAAAAGTACTCATATGCGCATATAAACTGCAAAATAGAGAAATTCAGAAATTTGAAAAAATTAAGAACAAAAAGATAGGATGTCCTACTGTCCTTCAAAGGGTTAATGTTTTGTTAATAGCGAATTCGATCGGTGCACATCAAAGAATTCGTTGTATACAAATCGACGTATGTGTGTTTAATATAAACATAAAAACAATTCTCAATACACTTTATTGTTTATTTTGTAAAATATGTATTGGACATTTTACTATCCGAATTATTTTACATTTATATATTCAGATCAGATCAGTGTATAGTGAATTTATGCACCAGTTCGCTCTAGTGCATTCAAATTCGCCATAAGACTAAATATGCACTCCGATAGAACAACGGATTTTTATTAAATTATATGTCCGTTATTTTGCCTAAAATATGTAATTTGCAATTAAGCGAGTACATTTACAAAAGATATAGAAATTCTGACCTCTTCTAAAATATGGATGTTTGCCTAATTAATTTCGATATAAATATTTCAGCAAAATAATATGATGGAAAATTTTCCAAATTGTTAGAAAAAAATTGTTCGATAATTGAAAAAAAAAATTTTTAACTGTATTTTAGAAATATAAATAAAAATGTACTCATAAAAATGCATAATTATCCTAAGTATAAATTATAAATATTTTAGCCTAAATATTATATATTCGATACAGCTAAATTAAAAATTTTAAAGTCAAAGTGCTTTTGAAATGCTTTTGATACACCTCCGATTTTCCAGAAGTGTTCATCGAACATTTGAAAATAATTAGATAACGTAGCTTGATTTGTTTCTTTAATGCTGTTAGCATTTATTATGTTTTAAAAAAAAAGTGAATTAAAAAATATCTACATTTTACATTAGATTTATCTAATTTTTGACAAATATTATTTTGAAATTTTATTTTGACGACATTTTATTTTGTTGTTGTCATGTTAAATTATTGTAGCGTAATCTAATTATTGCAAAATTATCATAATGCTATTATTATACAATGTTTTTATAATTGACTTATCAAGCTAAGTATCAATTATATATATGTTAGGACTTTCAATCCTTAAAAAGATTTTTTATGTTGATTAAAAAGATATATATATATGTTGATTAAGTTATAAAGTTTGTATTAATTGCCCCCTAAAAGTTGCAATTTACATATAAGCCATTAAAGGATCTGCCAAAAATATTTTTTAATTATGTTATTCAAACATAAAAGTTTCAGGTTGCTGAATCTAATATTAAAACTGATAACTTAATTTAAATTGAAAATTGAATGTGAAAAATCCTTATATAAATGAATTATTCCAAAAATTTGAATTTTTTAAATTTTGATTTTCACCATTAATGATCATATTGATCATTTTTTAATTTATTAAAAAATTTATTAACTTTAACACAATATTAGTACTTACATCAATAGAGTTTATATTGATAAGTTTGTTTCAATATATGCTGCTAGTACTGAAAATCTATAATTCACATTGTACTATAGATTTCAAGTATTGGAGTATAGCATTATATTATATGTATATTGTTGCTTTGATGCAATAAATCTTCTCCAACATGTCGCATCATAATTATAACATGCTAATTGTAAAACAGTCCTTTTTGCAACTTTAACTTTGCAAATTTCTCAAAATTATGACACTATTATTGTTATAGAGCAATTTCCCAAATAACACTGTAGTTAATAAAGCATTAAAAAAGCGCATATAAGTGCTAAAAAAGCGATTATTTTTTAGCTTTTTTAACGCTTTGTAAGCATTGTGTACTACTTGGATTGGTAAACGGAATCATGTTTAGTGCCCGAACTGAGATTATTCTTGTACTAAAAAAATTAATTTTTTGTTAAATAATGTAATTACTTCAAAGTTTTAAATGCAATTGATAGATGCAGAAAACAAGCGATATTAATATTTTGAGAACATTAACTGTCTGTTTAGAACTTAATTTAAACTTATTTGTGTTCAAAGATGAAGAATCTGTATTTAGAGAACGATAAAGGAATGTCAATGTGTGTTTAAACTGTTATACAATTCACTTTATTGCAGATGAAGTGTCATTGCCAAACGCATGTAAAAGCTGTATGTAGGTGATGAACATGTGCATAGCTTATTGCCATTCAGCCTTCAAGTATAGATTTATATTTAACTGTTACATGATTTATAATTGATAGACCAATTTGCATATATTTTAATCTACGCATTATTTTATCTTCTTGATATCAATATGCCGCGTAATTTTTATTTACATTTCTTTCTTTATCCTGATCAATGTGCAAAGTATATACAAAGTAAACTTTGGCATAAATTATTATCAATGATAATGACGCTAGAGTTGGGAGTATCTACTGCGTATAATCCAAAATACAAGAGTTTATCATTATACTTTTTTGTCACATCTTTTTTTTTAGATATTAGCGTGCAATACTAGCTTGGTCAAACAACCGGCTAGGAATTTGAACGTTCATGAACACATTAGCTACAGTTTACTCAATGAGGCTGGCGTACCGACACCTAAATTCGGCGTCGCCAAAACTCCTGACGAAGCAGCTAAACTCGCTACCGATTTGAAAACAAAGGATATCGTCTTGAAAGCCCAAGTCCTCGCTGGTGGCAGAGGAAAAGGACATTTCAAAGGAACGAGCGTTAGCGGTGTGAAGATGTGTGAAACGTAATTACAATCTTTTTGATTAGATTGCATGCGATATGTACTCTAGATGTATTGCAAAATACTGTAGCTTATTATCATTATAGTCCAGAAGAAGCTAAATCGTTGGCGGGTCAAATGCTTGGCAAACTACTGATTACAAAACAGACTGGCGAAGGTGGCAGAATATGCAATGCCGTGATGGTTACTCAGCGAATGTTTCCCCGTAAAGAGTACTACCTTGCTGTCATGATGGAAAGAGCCTTTGGTGTAAGTTTTTAAAATAATGAAAAGCGCATTTGAAAAGTTATTGCATTAAATAAAAATAATTGTATTAAATTTCTAATGGATATTTTCCATTCCCAGGGTCCTGTCATAATAGCTTCTAGTCAAGGTGGGGTAAACATCGAAGAAGTTGCAGCGACAAATCCTAGCGCTATCATGTACGAACCTATCGACATCAATAAAGGAATTACGAAGGAACAGGCGGAACGTATAGTAGCCAAGCTTGGCCTCGATAACGTAAAGGATTACATTTCCAATATAATTATAAATCTTTATAAAATGTTCCTCAAGAAGGACGCTCTTCTTTTGGAAGTGAATCCTCTTGCTGAAGATATAAACGGGAATTGTAAATTTCTGTCTTTCTTAATATTTTATAAATGCTCGATTTGCAGGAATCTTCTTACATATTTTCTTTTACAGACTTTGCTCTGGATTGTAAATGTCGGTTTGACGACAATGCTGAGTTCAGGCAAAAAGAACTCTTTAATTTGAGAGATTGGACTCAGGAGGATTCTAAAGAAGTCGAAGCTGCGAAATTCGATTTAAATTACATCGCGCTCGATGGCAACATAGGTTGTATGGTGAATGGAGCTGGTTTAGCCATGGCTACGATGGACATTATAAAATTACACGGTGGCGAGCCGGCTAATTTCCTCGACGTTGGCGGTGGTGCGTCGACTTCGGCGGTGAAGGAAGCATTTAAGATCATCACTTCTGATCCACGAGTAAGTGCACGAAATTATGATTGAGTCTTTATAATTTAATTGAATTTACATGCATTCTTTTTTTTTTTCTATCAGGTTCATGCTCTCTTAGTTAATATCTTCGGGGGCATCATGAGATGTGACGTTATAGCAGAAGGTATTATCGCCGCAACTAAGGAATTAAGCTTAAAAATTCCCGTCGTTGTAAGATTGCAGGTATGCGCTTTGTTTTATAAATAATTATTATGATGATTACAATTGCTTATAGAATTACTCAAAGATATTTTTTTTCTTTTTAGGGTACTAATGTGGATGAAGCCAAAGCTTTGATCGCGAATGCGGGTTTAAAAATTGTACCAATCGACGATCTCGACGAGGCCGCTCGGGTGGCGGTAAAATTATCGACCATTGTTAAATTAGCTCAATCTGAAAATCTCAGTGTGAACTTCGAAATACCTGCAATTTCATAGGTAGCGAAAAAATAATTGATAATATATTACTAAGACTATTTTTGCCGAGAATATGTATTCAATCGTTAAAAGATTTCAGGAATATCTGAAAGTAATAACTACAGTAATAACTTTATATGCGTAATGTATTCTCGTCAAAGAGTAATATTTTACACAGTTCGACTTTTTGCGTAACTTTACAGAAAGAGAAAAAGAATAAAAAGTAGAATAATTTTGGACAAGTCTGTGACATACAAAAGTGATACGACTGGAAGACATGATAAAATATGTAAAACGAAATAATGTATTATTTTATGTGTGTGTGTGTGTGTGTGTGTGTGTGTGTGTGTGTGTGTGTGTGTGTGTGTGTGTGTGTGTGTGTGTGTGTGTGTATACACATATATACACACATGTATATATTTATGGTAATCTTTCTTTTTAATACAGTCGCGAACATTTGTGATACACAGAATTGTACAACATTACTCACGGAAACGCGTAATTTATCAGTGCTTATTTCTATAGCGTTTTATGAGATCCAGTATTAAGGAGATTAAATTATATATATGTAATATATTATCTATTTGCAAGCAACCATGTGGAAATGTGCTCTAGAATGTTCAAAACCATCGATAAGATATTAGACATTAAAATAGACTATCAACTTTTTGAAACATTAATATAAATATTAGCTTATAATGCGATGTTAAATTTATTATTTATTATTATATCAATGTTTCGTAAATAAGTGTACAAATTTACAATTCAATTTTGACAAAACTACTATCTTTTTACGATCCACATGAATAATCGTGCAGTTATAAATAAAAATCAAATTATATTATATTAATATTATCTTGTATGTACATGTCTATAAAAGGTTAAAAATTTTAATAATTAATTGTAATAAAATAAAAAATAATAAAATTAATATTTCATTATGAGCTAATTATCCAAATTTAGTCATGCCAATGTCCGTAAGATTGTTGATCTTTAAAAGAATCTCATCGGTATCAAAATTAGTAACGAAGTACATATTTATTTTCGAAAAACACAACAGCCATTCACATGAAAAACTATGGAATGTCGAAAGTAAAAAGACCTGCTCCATGATATGTTAGTGACATATATGTATACATAATTATTTTGCATAACTTTAGTTTTTCATTCCTTCATCAAACAGTTATACCGCACGTTACTGTTGTCGAGTTATACTAATACCAATATAAATTTTTATTTAATGGATAATCATCGAGTAAATCTATATAAGTTCATGTATTTATTCTATTATTTAACAAATTGTACAAGATTATCGTTAATACTGCCGTGTAAAGATGTTAAGTAATCATAAGAACGTTGGTAATTGTAAATATGAAATACTGCTTGTTTCTTATCACGAGAGGATAAGACATATTCTTCTTAGTCCTATTGCTAGTAGATGAGCGTAATGATTTTTTTCATATGCTGTGATATGCAGACTGGTTATACAATACAGTTTTCGTCGATTTCGAATGATAAAATTTTGTTAGACTATATAGGTCTGTTCTTTTCTAAAATTCTTATGGTTCATCTTTCTTTTCTCTCCACATTGGACAGAAAAAGAGAAAAGATGAAGAATGCAAGAAGTTCAGCTAAAAAGAACAAGCCTTATAAATATCAGCCTAAGTTGCAATTGATTTTACGAACTAAATTCTATTATAATGGCTACAAAAAGCAGCTTTGTAACTGTTGTAAGATTTTCTGTTAAACGATTGTCAGCGATTTATTTTCAAACATATTGCTAAACAATCATAATTCTTTCCAACATATTACATTGTCGTTCAGTAGAAATCCGTGCTAAATACATGTATTAAGCAATATGAATTATAATGTAGTTACTATACCTTTACATAGTTGATATTAAATTATATTATTATAAAAGTATAAAAGTATAAAGATGCTCGTATTAATGTAAAAACAATGAATTGAACAAGATCAATGAATCGAGTCAAAGGTAGTTGACAAAATTAATATTCCTATTATTAATAATAATGGACGCATTCA